AATGTTGAGTATTTTGCAAATAAAATGTATTGTATTTTTATTATAAGAACCTGACCAGGATGTGCAAGGTCGCAGGCCAGGACCAAGAAATGTAAATAGAGAGTACTGGAATCTGCTCCATTCAACCCTGTCTTAGTCCCATTTTCAAGGATCTGTCAAGACGAGAGAGCAGATATGTCGCCGGTGCAGTACATGGAACAGTACGTTGACATAGAACTGATGAAAGTCCTTGCCGACTGTACAAATTTTATGTCATTAGCTAAAAGTGGGAGATCTCTCAACACATCGGTTGAAGAGATGTACCACTTTTTTGGAGCATCCATCTTGATGTCCTGCATCCCGTACCCACAAATCCGCATGTTCGGGTCCACTAACCTGAAAATCCCTGCCATTAGTGACACAATGAGACGCGACCGATTCTTCAAGCTGAGATTATTTGAGATTATCTAATTGGTTTTGTTTTTAGGTGTACCTAACTGGTACAGTCATGAAGAACAGGATCCCAAAAGAAATGCAGAAGCTTCTAAGTGACAAGATCATGAAGCAGCAAGGCAGAGGTACCTCCGCATCAGTTGTCAGGGGAGATGGGAAACTGAATGTTGTGAAATGGTTTGACAACAAGCCGGTCCTGATGCTCTCTGCTGTCCACGCTAAGGAGCCAGAGGATACCTGCCAGCGGTGGTCCAAGAAGGACAAATGCTACTTAACCATCAGACGACCAAATATTGTACAGGAGTACAATGCAAAGATGGGTGGGGTCGACTTATCAGACAGAATGATGAGCTACTACAGGATGAGCGTGCGAACTAAGAAGTGGACAATTCGCATGCTTATGCACTTTATGGATCTTGCTCTGGCCAACAGCTGGCTGCTGTATCGCAGAGATCATCAAGAACATGGTACCCCAAGAAAGGCTATCTTGATGTTCCTCGCGTTCCGCATGGACGTTGCTCAGGTATTCCTCAACAAGTGTGATGTCACACATGCAGAGGAAGAGAGTGCATGCTATCCACAACCTGGCCAAAGAGCCCTGGTCACGCCAATCCCCCACATCTCAGCGCGCACAACTTCTGCTGCTCATCTGCCGGAAGTTGCTGATCTCAAGAACCCGATGCGTTGCAGACAACAAGGCTGCGCTGGGAAATCCCGTGTACGCTGTCTGACATGCAATGTGTTCCTTTGCCTGCAAAGTCGGCGCAACTGCTATGAAGCCTTTCACGGAGGCCAGTAGGACTACTTGAATACTTGAATGTTTGTTTGAGTTTACTATGACATGTTCATAATGAAGTTCATAAACTTTGCACTTTTCCATGCAAAAGCTGCACTTTTATTTGCACTTTTGTGTTTGTTGGCATTACAAAATAAACTTTTGTACTTTATTAACCAATGGTGTCTTCATTGTGAAAGTCTGGACAGAAAGCAGCGTAAATGTACATACTGTGAAACACAGATGTAAATAATAACATTGATTGAATGGTCTTATCGTCACACAGATAGACCCAATGTCCTCATATGAGGACATTAGGTTTTGAGATAACCACTTATTGTAGAAAGCTAAAATTTCATTTTTAGGCTAATTGGGTCCTTATGATCCCAAATGGCAAGGAAAAAATGTATAGGTAAAAACAGACCCACTGTCCTCATATGAGGGCATTGG